TTTGTAAAAACCGTTCTAAACTAGAAGCCTTTCCTTTTCTTTCTAACAAATTTCTGCTTGTCGTTTGTAAAAAATTCGGTACGAGTGATCGTCAGGGAGAGTCTAGTTTTCCTTGATTATATGAAATTAGGAAACTGTGAACTGAATAAAAAAATAGTAGGTCTTATATCACAAAACCAAAAACCTGAAACATTATATAATGGACTTAATGAAACATAAGTTATCTTTATAAGTACAGTGATGAATATAGAAACTACATGCTGTCTAACAATCTTTGCTGAATGATAACTTTGAGCTTTAAAGAGATGTAACAGATTTTAAAGATATCTAAGAACCTTTAAGATAATGAAAAAAGAAAAAAACAAAAAAAAAAGATTAAAAATGAAAATCATTAAAAAACAAAAAACTAAGAAAAAATGTTAGTCAAGAAGTAGTATAAGACAACTGCATCACATGGGTTATTATAACATAGCTTGTAAAAAAAAAACAGTTAACTGTTAGCTACTGTGCCATATAGAATCATTAAACCAATTATCTAATAATTAAATAAGGAGTTTTGGAAGGGCTGTATTTACGTAATAAGTGTTAGTTCCTTAAACTACTAAAAAGATTTACTTAATAACAATATTTGTTTTAAAGTATTTTTTGTTTAATAGAAGGTACGAATATCAAAAATAGGAAGTATTAACACCAATTCTTATTAATTATTAATAAAAATTTTTAATTTGCAAAAAGTTTTATTAAGTTAATTGATTTTGAACTCTTAAGTAAGCAAAAAATATTATTCTTAAACGTGCTCGAATAAATTAATGTCGGAGAAATGATATGTATTCAACTTCGTACATAAGAAACTTTTATTAAGTTACTATATTGATAAGTAAAAGTCAAACTAGCCAATAAAAATCACCGACACCAAACAGATTATCGTTATCATTTTTTTTTTCTGGTTGGAAATTCTCAACAGCTTATGAATTATCTCCAAGATGGAAGAACAATTTGAAAGAATTCGAAATCAAGTAGACTCTAAGCTTGATAATCAAAAGCAAATAGCTGCTATGTTGATAGCGGTTGAAGAAATGATCAAGGATCAAAATTCTCCTTTAATACCTACTGCTTATTTCGCTGTCTTATTAACAATACTTGAAGAGCATTGTAACAATCCCACAGATTCTGGAAATGAAATACAAGGAGCAATTCTTTACCTTTTGAATATCATACTACCTAGTATATCTCCTACAATATTACTTAGCAAGTTTTCTCAGATTATGCCAATATTATTGCAAGAATTAGATTCCAACAAAGACGATTCGGGAATTGTACGATCTATTACGGGCTGCGTGGAAAGTTTTCTAGTTACTCAAGATCGCAATACATGGAATCAATTATTAGCAAAAAGATCATTCCAAGCATTATTGTTCCTTTCTATAGATCAAAGACCTAAACCAAGAAAAAGAGCTCAAGACTCTGTGCGGAAAATTTTGAATTGCCCACCTCCTCCAATGGTTAAACACCCTATGATTGGTATAACCACCGAATTCTGTCAAAGAATTCTTAATGAATATTCAAAATCTGATCGTCAATCGATGCATCATATTTTAGCTCTTTTAAAATCAATTGCTGGAAAATGGCCTGTTCAAAATCTTAGTCAATTATGTGAATTATTACTACATTTACAAAAACTTAATGATACACTTATCACCATTGCTACATATCAAGTATTTGATGAATTATTTAAATATCACAGAAATGGATTTGAAAAGTTTGGGCTTGAAGAATTATTAAAATCTCATTCCGAACTTATGCCAAATATACAAGATGCACAACTATTACCGCATTGGCTCACTATAGTTGCAAAAGGCCTTAAGGCATATGCTGAGATCGATTCAGACAGGTGTGCTGGAATGTTACATAATTTTTTTAAAACCATCTTTCCTATCCTGGAAGTTGACAATTCTGATATTCAAGTTGCTGCCACGAATTGTCTTGTCGAACTTATCACATATGGTATTACTGATGACGTTATTCAGGAAACGTTCCGTGAAGGACAAGCAGATTCAGAGAAAAAACAATGCTTGAGCGAAATAATTTTATTAGTTAAAAGTGGTTTCAACTTTCGTTATCAGACTGCGTGGCCTTGTGTATTAAAAATTTTGGAATCATTATTTCAGCGATTAAAAAGATCTTCACAAAAACTTTTGGGTAGTTTTCTTAACGTTGTAGAAGATTTAAGAATGAATTCAAATCCTGAATTAAAGGATGCGTCTGATAAAACCTTAGGTGCCGCAATCGCGAATATGGGACCTCAGGCGTTCCTGAACATTCTACCATTGAATTTAGAAAACCCTGATAATAATAAAAATATTGGTCGTGCATGGCTTTTACCGTTACTTAAAGATCATATTGTAAATACTGAACTTAATTACTTTGTCCGAGAGCTTGTTCCTTTGAGTGAGAGACTTGCTCAAACATCCTTACAATTTCAGAATCAAAATCGGATGATAGAAGCAAAAGTTTACGAGACATTAGTTCAACAATTATGGGCACTTTTGCCTGGATTTTGTGATCTTCCTTTGGATTTACCTCATGCATTCACAAGTGTTACAGCTGAATTGTTTAGTAATATGATTTATCAAAAACCTGAACTTCGACCGACTATTGCTCTTGCACTTGAAACTCTGATCAAGAAAAATCATGCTATTATGGAGTCAGATGAAGATAATAGTAACTTAATGAAAAAATATGGTTTAGATAAAACATCGGCTGAGAAAAACCTTCAACTCTTGACTAAATATGCAAAAAATTATTTAGCAGTATTCTTCAATGTGTTTAGTCAAACACCTACAGCATATCGAGCATATATATTGAATATTATTAAAGTTTATATGACCATTACTCCACCTAATGATATTTCTATAACATTTAGTAAAGTTTTGAATTTATTGAAGCAATCTCTCTCAAATCATACTCCACAACAAAGCAATGAACAATCCACATCCATTCCTTCAATGTCTTATACCATGTTGGATTTATCAATTATAATGATATCATATTTGGAAATTGATTCTATTAAGCAATTATACGAGGTTATCATTGCATTATTTAGCAATGAAGACCCTACATTACAAAAAAAAGCCTACAAAGCATTAAATACGATTGTAGAGAATGATAATAGTAAATTGGTGATATTACAAAATATCGATGATTTACAAAATAAATTGGTAGATTCTGCCATGGTTTCTACTCTTGCCGCAAAAAAGAATCGGTTGTTAGTATTGATGAATATTATTAAATTATTATCAAGAACAGATCTTCACATGATTCCTGATGTGCTTTCTGAAGCCATATTGAGTACAAAAGAGACCAATGAAAAAGCTAGGATTGCAGCATATGAATTACTTATTACTATGGGAAATAAGATGAAAGAAGGAGGTAGAATAATCATGAGCAAAGTTTCTGAAACAGATCCAACAGCACAAGATGTAGATGCTAATATTAATGAATTCGTGTTCAAAATGGTCGTCGCAGGACTAGTTGCAACTACCCCTCACATGATTAGTGCTACGATTGCGTCATTATCGAGGTTAATTTTTGAATTTAAATTTGATCTTGATCAATCACATCTCCATCAACTCCTCGATACTATGGATAACTTTGTAAAATGTACAAATCGAGAAATTGTCAAATCAGCATTGGGATTTGTCAAAGTTGTAACTACATCACTTGACGTTGAATTTTTAGTTCCACATTTATCACAAATTATATTAGGAATTCTTGCATGGTCTACAGAGCATAGAAGTTTTAAATTCAAAGTTAGACACATTTTTGAGCGATTAATACAACGGTTTGGATATGACACGATAGAAAAACACGTACCTGAAAATGATCGAAAATTGTTGACAAATATTCGCAAAAGAAAAAATCGAGCAAAACGTAGAAAGAATGTGGATTTGGATAATGATGATGATGATAAACAAGATATAGAAGTATCAGTTAGCAAGCAAAAAAGAAAAAGTTTTATGTCTAATGACGCGTATGAAGATGTATTATATGGAAGTGAGAGTGATTTTGAAGATTCTGAACAAGAAGGAGAAGCTCCAGCCAAAGTAAAACCTTCGAATACACGCAGTAGAAAGGCACCTGCATCGTGGATAAAGGAAGATAATGATTCGCCAGTAGATTTTTTGGATAAAAGTAGTATTTCAAAAATCATTGGATCAAACCCTATTATTCGAAAAACACCAAAACGTAACATGTCATTATTTAATAAAACAAATGATGGTCGCATGATAATCGATGAATCTGATGAGGAATCTCAAGATTCAGATATTGAGATGAACGAACCAGATAATTATTATTTAGAGGCACAACGATCTAGTGTTGGTTTTACACGCGGTCAAGGAAGTAAAGTTAAATTTAACAAGGTGCAGAGAGACAGAGACAGTGATATGGAATTGGATGATTTCGAACCAATTGACAGTGTTGCGAAAAGAAACAAAAAAAATAGATCTAAACGAGATGGTATCACAGTTGGCAAGGAATATAAAGCGAAAAATGCAGAAGGTGATGTGAAACGGAAAGGAAAACCAGATCCTTATGCTTACGTTCCACTTACGTCTGTGTACAGAAAGAAAGGTCAAAAAGGAGTCAAAATTTCCTTAACAAATGGAAAGGTAAAAAAAAGACGGATCAGAAAGAAATAGCTTAATTGAGTTGATGTATCAATATATCCCAATTTGATATATAAATTATTTAATTCAAAAATAAAATCTTTTGACGTTTAATAATCGATCTGTTATATGGGGAATTGGATCCGCCTTCTGATACCATGGTGTGATCCGTTCAAATCCGGATTGCATATTTGAGACTACCACTAGGTAGGGCTACTCATTTTATGCTGGACAGACCCCAAATTCCGTCTGCTTTACATTTCGAATTATCGTTATGCGATAAATTTTTTAGAATTATGCGCATTGTCCATCAGTAGCCGTATATAGTTGAATATTCGCTTCTCGTGGAAGTCTGGATTATTTTGGATTAATTTTAATAGTGAATATCTACTGTTACGTTTGTTGAGAGCTATAAATGGCTTTCAGAGCGATTTTTTTGCTGATTTTTCAACATCGGCGAAAAATTTTGATCGAATATTTGAATGTTACAGTTTTTAAGGTGTCAAATTACTTAGTATAAGTAAATCCGTTGAAATAAAAGCGTTATACGTATATATCATCAATATTTAACTCTAAATATTAAAAATAATAAAATCAATCATCTTCATATTACTAATTAGAAATACCATTCTGCAGATAATTTTAACTAATCTTCTCTTCACATTCATAATACACTGTATAAATGTGTATTATCATTTATAAAATGTCATTAACCATATTGGTTTTCCTTTGCCATCTTTATTAATTATTACGATTGAACAAACTTTTACGTAATTTTTTTTTTGGATTGCTTTAAACTATCAGTAACGGTCTCCTCTATATTATATTTTGGTTATTCACAAACAGAAATATTATGATATTTTTTTTTCTCTATAATCAAAAGAGAACTGTATTGGAATATCGACAGAAGATATAGCATCTTTATTTTCAATAATTAAGGGTGTTCTCAAGCCTCAACCTCGATGTGATTAGCATAACTATAATTATTTACATAATTTTTGATAACGAATCGAATAAGCAAATTAAGAAGTAACCAAAGTTTGCTCAAACGCTATTCTCTATGCAATTAGCTCATAAACATGACGATGCTAAAATAAGAATTGATACTTAATTGATATTTGAGAGATCCATTAATATTTTATCAAATGTCGTTATCACTACGTTTAGTTAGGTTAATACGTACGTATTCGGTTGTTGCATGCTAAGGTTATTTTACAATAAGGTTACTTTTGCGATCTTTTTGAATACTCAAAGTTAATTGTAAATTTACCAAGCCTACAATGTTTGTAAATTGAAATGATTAACTCTTGTAATATTTTTTTTACTAATAAATCTTTTCCACTAAGTAAAATTTATTCATTGACACTTTTTGTCCATTGATTAAGACGCCCTAAATCAGTTTTGTTTTATTAACTAGAGAATGTGCACGTGGGCGGCTTCGCCGCCCGTAATTTTTGAATTTTATTAATCATGTGATTATAAAATAGTTTGGTTACACATATCAATGATTTAGGGTATAAAAGGGTTTAAAGGAAAAAAAAATTTTTGAATTATGTGTGCGTTAGGAATTTTATATTAACGATAGTAGAGAGATGTTTTTGCTTTTAGGCTTGAAGTATTCTGGATACTTTGGTTCTGGTTAGTGGAGTTTGTTATGCTGGTCTGTTTAGTGGTAGTGATTCAAGAGCTTCAAGTTCTAGACGTCTATATTCTCTGATCATGGATTGGTCTGTAATAAAAGCAGTGCTATCTAGTGATTGTATTTTTAAATTATTCCAGTTAGTACAGCGGCTTAATGCTACATATGCTTGGCCAGGTGCGAATATTTGTTTGTCTAGGTTTAGTGATACATCGGGGAGTGTAAGTCCTTGTGTTTTGTGGACAGTTAACGCATATGCATTTTGTATTGGGAATTGGGTTCGACTAGCAGGTATGCCATTTATATCGAAGTTGCTTGTGAATTTGGTGAATGAAGTATTTATTATAGCTCCTTCGATACAAAAACTTACGTAGACGAGATTTAGTTGAGGATCAAGGTCTGTGATGATACCTATAGTACCATTTGCTATTCGGTGTTGATGTTGTGAATTGGTGAGAAACATAACTCGTGCACCAGGTTGGATTCTAATGGTTTCTGGTAGGTTGGTTTTGTTTTTAAATTCGCGGAATATTGATTTGTCATTACATATTCGGTTATTAAAGACATCGATGCTATTTGAGATCATGAATTTGTTTTCTTGGGTAGGGATCATGGTGCATATTAATCTGTTTATTAAGTCTGCATTTTTTCTGTAGCCTACTATGTGTGTGGTATTAAGGGTGGTGTCTAATTCAGATGATCTGATTGTTTCGTGGTTTTTTTGGGACAGTATTTGCCATGTTGTATCGTTGATCTTACCCATTCTTATTTTTTGTAGTAGGTTATAGAATTGGGTGTCTTGGTTTTGTCTTTGGGGTTCATGAAGAAATAGTGGGTAGAAGATTTTCCATATAGGGGATTGGTAGATGGGAGAGCCAGTAACTGAAGGTAATTGAGCTAGATCACCGACTAAAATAACGTTGATGCCTCTGAATGGGTTATTGTTTTTGTGCAATGATTCAAAAAGTTCAGAGATGTATGTTAGGAATTGGCCCGATACCATGGATATTTCATCTATAATGAGAGTGTTTATTTGAAGGAGTGAGTTGTTTAGTTCACGGTCATGAAATGCGAGAGTTTGGAATCCGTATTTATCATGGATGATTTGTAGTGCAGAGTGAATTGTTGATCCACTAATATTTTGTGCAGCGATTCCAGTTGGTGCTAATAGTAAATAGTTTCGGTTGGTTCTTTGAAAATCTTCTAACAATAGGTGTATCATATAGGATTTTTCAGTGCTTGCTGAGCCTGTGATAAAGAAGAAGGGATAGTGTGAACCATTTTGTGGACCTAGGTAGTTATTTATTGTTTGTCAGCAATGGTATTGACTTGGTGGTAGATTTATGGTTGAGTTAGTGTTCACGACTCGTGGTAATATTTTTATAGAGTCTAATTGGATTTTTATTATGTTTAGAATATCTGTTGTTAGGATTGAGTTAAGTGACGAAGTTATTGTTTCGATGAGGATGTTGAATTGATCTAAGGCATGTGATGTTTGTCTTAGTGTAAATTCTTGATTTTGTTCTTGAATAGATTGGTATATGGTTGGAAAACGAGCTAGGAAATGGTCTTTGTAATTTCGGTAACCACTTAACATCTCAGTTTCAAATCTGCATGAAAATTTTAGTAGAAGTTGTTGATAAAAGAACAATTCACCATGTTCTATCTGTAAGGATCGCATACGTGTGAGTATTTGGTTATTGCGTTTGACAAAAAAATTTCCGAGATTATCTTGGTATACTGTTTTGTTAGATGTATTTGGATGAGTTGATTTTAATTTATAAGTTTCAAAGTAGGTTTTATATCTTATGTTGTCAAATATGGGGTTGGGTGGTTGTACGAAGTATTTTTCGATTTTATCGTTCCAATAAGGATCATCTTCAAGTGAGTCTAGCATATATAATGGAATAATTGCTTTTGATCGTGTGGATGGAGGATCTGTAGTTAGATACTGAACTTGGATTGATGAGTTTACTATACGTTCGCCAAGCAGTAGAAACATTATTTTCATTGAACCCATTCGCCGAGCATGAATGTATTCACAGTAGTATATTTGTTCACGGATATTGAATAAGTATGTAGGTTCTGACTTGCTTATATATTTTGTTATGTATCTGGCAAATTTTTTATTAGTTACATATTGGATATTCATATGAGCATTCCATATCATTAATGTAGGAGCATGATATGGAACTATTCATTGATCTTCTGGTTTTAGGTATCTGTAAGTATATCTGTAGTTATTTGGGTTATAGAATGTGTATTCAGAGATGGGATGGGAAAATCCTTTTTTGCATGTTGATCCTGGTGAGGTTGGACCTTCGCATTTAAAATTGCATGTGTGTGTTTGAAAGTTATGGATTTTTTGGTAAAGTTCTGGTTCTAGGTTAGGGTTGGAAAGGGTTGATCGAATGATATTCGAATTAATCATTTTTAGTATGTTTGATGTTGTTCAGTAAACACCATGTAGATGTGCCATTCTACGGTTTTGAAATTCTATTCAGTCAAAAAAATGTGAGTAGATTTCCCATTCACTAATGTTTGGATCTTTCTAAATGTATTTTTTGATATTTTGTAGTTTGTGGATGAAGTGTAATGTTGCATGTAATGGTCTGTTGGTTAGTAACAGGTCATTATTATCTGTGTTAAAGTATGTTGTGAAGGTGGGTTCATGAACCTTCGGCCATTGTTAATGTGATGAATATTGTTGGAAGGCCAAGTTCGTGAATCATTGTGTTTAGATGCATGTTTTTTTTTTTAAAGTAACCATCACCTGTATGAATGAACATAAGTATGAGTGATGTTTTTGTTTTGTTGTAATGCCAACCGTCAGTATAGGTACTGCATTCAATAATTTTAATAGCTGTAGGTAGACAGTGAGTTTCATCAACAGCAGATTGTTTGATAAGTCGTTGAGTATTTTGGAAATTTCTGAATTTTTCTAGTTGTAGATAAGCCCATGCAGGTCAGTAGTGATGCAGTCAAAATCTGGAATCTTCAGAAAGTAAACGATGTTTTATGTATTTTCTAAGGGTGTCATGGCATCGTTGTAAATTTCTTAATTGACTTCATATATCTTGATAATGTTCATGATCATCAGGATATAGGTCTGAAAAGAGTAGTGATTCGAGATGTAGATCATTTAGGGTAATTGGGATTCTGTTTATATTAGTATTGGTCACAAATCCAGTTATTAAGTGATAGTAGTTTGCATCTTCATTGTGGATTTCAGCAGGAAAGTTTTGGTGTAGAATTATTATATCACTGTGTCGAAATGGGGGTGTGTTTTCATCAACAGATGAATGAACGGTTACAGGAAACTGGAGATTCGAATTTGTTATTAGTGAAATTATTAATGAATATTGGTGTATGTAAGAATTATTTTCTTTAAGCCAATTAGTAGCATTAATTAGTGAGTTTTCAAACCAGGGAGGAAGTGCAGATTGAGTAAAAGTTGGAGAGGTAAGGTAAGTGCCTAATAAGCCTGAATATAAATTCAGAGAGTTAAAGTTTTGTGAGTAATTCATAGTGCTTACCAGTGTTCTGTATTCGAAAAATGGATTAGTTCCAGGTGTTCTATCCAAAGAACAATAAAGAAAGATAAGGGACAAATGTTTGCGTAATCTTAATAGTACTGATTCAATTTCGGGTGGAATCGGGTGTAGGTATGGTGGATAATTGTGTGTTGGGTTTGACTTGCATGAGTGACATATTGTGATATGGTTTGCAGGTAGTATTGGGTTCACGACTAGTAATCTATAATTTTCAAGTGGATACAGAGTATTAGGATTTCGATGAATTCACATCGATTTCTCTGGATACATAAGTCTGGAGCAAATAGAACAAGAAACGCATGGAAATTGAGATAGAATAGTATTTTCGAATTTTTCTATTAGAGTTTGCATTTTTTTTGAGATTATCCATGTAAATATTCCTGAATAAGGTGATTCATTGGATTGATAGTTAGAGTGTTGTGAGTTATTGTTATTAGATGTTAGATCAATTATTTCTTCATTGAATTCTAGGGGTTCGATTTCAAGAATTCTATGTATGTAGAATGACATATTTAAATAAAAATTATTTGTTTTATCAAAAGTATTTTATTTTTTAAAAAATTTTTTTTATCAAGTGATTTGATTTTTAGAGTTATTTAAATTACAGTCGAGAATTTGGGTGTGGTATTTATAATTTGTGAAAGTATTAATGCAATTCAGTAGTTTTGTTTTAAGTGAAGTTGTAATGATAATCTAGCTATATAAATATTATTTTATTAATTGTATTTACGACTGTATTAGGAAGCTAAATATTTTGTATATATTGATATTTAATATACGTATTATTTTTTGCATTGTCGAGCATATATAGCAAAGATGTGTAACATTTATTCAAGTATATATTTGTATTTCAAAATATATTTTAAAAAATGAGTTTAAAATAGTTCTCAAAGATGTGAGTTTATAGATCGTGAATCTGTATTATATAAGAGAGGCTTGGCCTTTTTTTTTTTAAAGTTGAGGTATAGTTATTAAATATTTCAATAGGTATTCATGTGATCATTAGTATTGATGTCTAAAAGAGGTTGTGAAGTAATTTAAGCTAATCTTAAGCATTTGAATAAATTGATCTGATAATAAATGACTGTGACGATGCTCAAGCATTACAATCGATGATGATATCTATAAAATCAAATGCTTGAGTATACCTTTTCTGTTTGTTGTAGTTTGTTATACTATTTAAAAAATTTAATTAATAAAAAAAATTTTTTTTGATCAACTGTTAAAGTTTTAACTTTAGTTACTTTGGTTCTTCCTTTTTATGATTTAAATTTTAGGGAAATTTTATTATAGCCTGGTTAAATGTTAAAAGATTGTTATGATTATAATCTTAGATATATGAAAATTTATTCGTTATTTATATAAACATAAATATATATTATATGTAGATAAAAAAATGTAAATACATATCAGATAAGTATATATAATGTGTTAAAAACTGTTCAAGAAAAAAACACTGATATGAATATTTATAGTATTTAAAGGTATTGAATATTAATTGTTATTTACAGAAGAAGAAAAAAAAAAATAAGATAAATGATTTTAAGTTAAGTATATACTGACACATGTGTAAATAATAATATACTTATCTATTCAATAACAGTTTGATTAGGTGTGTTTGAATTCGAAGGTTTGTTTAAGAGGTCATTAGCCAAATCTGTAACTTTTGGGTGAGAATTGGTTTTAAGATATGGTTTAGGGTTAGGTGTGGTTTTTTTATGTTAGGTGCTTTCTTTAACTCTTGTGGCTATAGTTTAAGCAATGGTAGAGGCATTTTGCTGATTTGTATTATTCTGATCTTTCGATTCCCATGAAAATTGCATTGGGCTGCTATTTGTAATTGTATTTATTTTTTGGTATTCCAGAAACGAAACATTTCGTATATGAACTATGTTATCATCATCAGTAATCATGAGTTCATTGTTAATATAGATTATGGAATCTTTCTTTATAACAGCTGTCGTATTCGTCAAATATTGTGCAGAAGTAGAGTGATAGCATGTTAATTTAAGATTATTATAACCTTGGTCGACATAATTTTTAGTCAAAATATTAATGACTACATCTTTGTTATCGATTTCTGGGTCTTCTTGAACCAATGCTGTCATGTTAATTAATATCGAGAATGCAGGTAAATTGTTAGGATCAAGAGTATCAAAATGAACAACATCGTTCAAGGTAATCTTTTTTGTTGAAAGAAAAAAAAAAAATTTAACCTAAATCATTGTTAATAAAAATTAGGCAGATTATATTTTAAAAAATATTTATTTTAACTTTTGTAGTTAATATCTCGATGGATTTTTAAGCTAGTTCGATGATTTATTAATATTCAAAATAAAGTTTAGTCTCCAAACTTTTTTTTTTTGAATATCAAATTATTAAAATAGCTTAGAATTCATCGAGATATGAGTTACGAAAGTTGGATTTTTTTAAAATATAATTTGTTTGATTTCTATTGACAATAGTTCATTTATTTATCGATTAGATTTTTTATATTCATAATGATAATAATTTATACTTTTAAAATAGAATATTTTTCATCATTTTGGCCAGTGCCTTCAATGATACGAAAATTTCCAGTAGCAAGCACTACATCTTTATCTTCAAATTCAGGTAAATTTAATTCTTGAATAGTATCATGATGATAAAATCCAGTTAAAATAACATTCAAAGGAAAGCCTAGACTTCGGGATCTTATAATATCCAAAGCTTCGACAATCGAAAGACTTTTATTAGGAACTAATTTTTTTTGATAACTCGTCACATAACATAATACAGTTACAGAAGCAGGCATTTTTTTTGATTTTTTGTTTTGAGAGAATTGAAGAAAAAATGAATGAGAAAAAAAATAAGACTATTTATTTTATATAATTTATTATGATTTTTAATATGAAAAAATATTAATTCATACAATTCACGATTTAATACAGTATGGGAATATAATATCTTTTTGATTATTTAATCAGGAAGCTTTCTTTGAAAACATGTTTTTTTTTAGTTAGTCTTTTCAAAAAGTTTGAGATAATGAGCATATAATGAGCATATACATGTTATTTTGATCATTTGCGCATTATTCGAATACGCTCATATGCATTATTTCAAGTCTAATTTTTGTCATAGAATTAGCTGATATATGGGTTGCCATTAATAGAAATCAAGAGAATTGACGTCCTAAAAAAAATTAATATCTTAGCTTTTTACAATTTATATCTTAGTGAAACTTCTAATGAAATAGTATCTAGAATATCTTTTCAACATTAGTTTATAAAGTTTACTTTAAAATTTACTGATATGAGCTATAAAAGCTATGATATTGATTTTTTTTTTTAGAACATCAATCTTCTTGATTTTTATTGACGGCAGTCCATATTATATAGCATGAAGATGGTTTTATTACAGAAATTATTTTTTCAGGACAGCAAAAAATCATCTTTAAAAAGATGTAATCTTCGAAATACGCAAATAAAATAGTCACAAGGCTAAAATTATTTTTATCTAATTAATTTAATTTATTTATATACTAGATTTAGATATCGATTGAATTATCTTCATGGGTCATGAAGTATTTGAGTGTTTAACGTATATCCAATTATATAATTATTTATAATAGATTAAATAATAATTACATCACATACACATACATGGAAAAAATGAATATAGTAAAAATCAAGAATCTTTAAATATATAAAAATAAATAAATACAAGTATGTAGACAAAAAAAATGCAAATTTGGTATAATCATTATATGGGATTGAGATCGATACAGCAGGTTTTACCAGTTTTCAAGTAGGAACTTAGAGTTTCTCAATTTTTTTATTTTTTATTAATTAATTAATAAATAATAATAATAATTTTTTTATTTAATAAATAAATAATGAAAAATCTTCGCTGTAAACGAACACTTTGACAATCAATGATTATCAATTCATCTACCCTATAAAAAATCCAGCAAAAAAAAACAAAAAACTCACCAAAACACACCTTTGAATCTAGACAAAGGCCAAAAAAACAGTAAACGTAAAGCCCTTTCATTACTATTTGCATTAGATTGTGATTTTTTTTTTTTTAAAATGAAAGCAAATAATTCATCTTGTACCTTCACTTGTACCTTCACTTGTACCTTCACTTGTACTTGCACTTGTACTTGCACTCGCTATTATGAATCCATAAGTATTACAAAAATGACAGATGAAAATTTCCTTTCTTGGAATTAGAAGGAAATTTTGTCCGAAAATCTTCTGCAGAAAGACATCACAAACTACAAAAAAGTTGTATAATCTAAACCACTTACAGCACAAAGTCGACACAATCCAATCAACATATGCATGAATAATTACACCACATACATATATATGGAAAAAATGATATTGCAAAATTGAGAATCTTTAATTAAGGTCAATTGAAAGATTAATTATTATGTATATAAAACTTAATCAATTGAGAATTTCTATTTGTAAATTGTTTATATTATATGAGCAGTGTTATTTCTCAACATTTTGTTAATAAAACTACTTTTGGAGTTTTACTAAAAAAGATTTCTTGTGAAATTTTAGCATAAACTATACTTTTCTCTAAGCTTTAAAACTAACCTTACTTTAATATCAAATGGGGCTAAATTTATTAATAAAAATTGTGGGTTATATGCATGTGCAAGCAATTTTTTGTTAAAGTTTTATTTTACTCAATAATCGCCAAATTAAACAGAAAAAAAGTTCATCAAATGACAGTTTTTTCGATGACCATTCAATGATTCCATTCTCTATTTTGGAATTAGGATTATAATACGTAAAAATTCTTATCTGAAACCATTCTACTTTGGGTACAATTTAATATATTTATATGCTATTTAATTAGGACCTCTAAAATATGGATTTCCCCAGCATAATCACCAAAAAATAACAGATACTTGATAATGATCAAAATTCCTAATTCAGTAAGATTCAGTTAGTATTATTATTAGGTAATAGTAAGAGTATATTAGTAAAATTGCTCAAGGAATTTTTTTGTTAGTGCGCTAGAGGTAGTTTCTTATATAAATTTTTGAGTTACAAACATTTCCTGATTGTGCAATATTACTCCTAATCTTGTAATCTTATTGGTTTGCACCATGAAAAATATCACATGTCTGTGATTTTTTTGGTAGGTAGTTCTAGAACATGTGCAAGGTATTTAATAGTTTTCGATAAGTTCTATCAAACAGAAGTACTGAAAATTTAATTACAATTAAATTTTTATGCAATTATGATCAAGTAAAATTGTTCATTATGATTGGCTAATAAATTTTAAAAATGGTCACCAAAATTTAAAGATGATCATGCATTATTTATATTTTGTACTACTATAATTTTGGTTTTGATTGTAAGCAAAAAAAGCAAAACATATTTATTTTTTATTATACTATATAAAAAGATATTTGTACATAAATATTTAAAACAAGTGTAAAGCTGCATCAAGATGATTGCTTATATTATTATCTATCTCAATTTGACCAATATCATCATCATTATATTTATATTCACATTCACTTTCATTATCATTTTCAACTTCATTATTGTTAGATTCAATTATTTCATTCTTATTAATTCCAAGCTTTAATTGATCTAAATAAGATTTTATTAGTTTGCAAATCTTTTTTTCATAAAATTTAAAGCAATATAAACATGAATTATTTAATAAATTAAGACATTGTATATAATAAGCATGCCTATATATTAATATTTTTCCTGGTTCTAACACACTTAATTTATATTTTGTTGTATTACAAAATTTGTTTTTTGAAGATTTTTTTAAAACATGATATCTAATTGGTAATCATTTGATATTAACAGTTGCATTAAATGTTACTAAAAAACATTTAAAGTGTTGTTTTGAAAAAATCATATAACTTTGACCATATTTATTTTAAATATTAATAAATAAAAATAATAAAAATTCAGCAGACATTTCTCTTAGTTGTTTTAATTGATGTTGAGTATATAGATAATATATAAATTTAACAAAAGCATCATGAAATTTATTTTTATACCTATTATGATTAATAAATAAAGCCTTATCATGAAGAGAATATGTATCCAATCATTGTCCTGATATTTGGCATCAAAGAATACTATAAAAATTTTTAATATAATAATCAGTAAAAAGTAGAAGATAAGTTTTCAAAGCAGTAAGAATCAGATAATTAATTGAATCTCAATAAAATATATCAGAAAGAAATGCTAAAGAGAGTTTGTCATAATTTTTTTATTTAAAGCAGCAAAAAATTGGTCACAATTAAAATATTGTTTTAAGATACTTATTTTATTTTCCAGTTTTAAACAATGCTGCATATATATCAATAGTCATTAGAACAATATTATCAAGTAAGTCTATTAATGTTTGATATTCTAAATCTTTAAAATTATTTATACAAGTTATAATAGTTAGTTTAATTCAAAGCTATCCTATATAAGCAAGATAAAGCAATAAATCAGATCGTCATACTTTAGGCTTTTCTGCTAGTTCTTTATTTTTCCAAATTGATTTAAAAAGTTTGCTAAAAAACTTGTGATATACTAATATTGTTATTTGATGTAAGTTTAAAGATATATGTAACAGGCCAAGCATAAGAATAAATTATAAAATTAGATCAGGTATCAAGATTTGATTTCCAAGTATTAATTTGTGAACAATAGCATAATGAATATAAAGCTATTCAAGAAAATTAGCATAAATGGTATAATAAAAAAGTTAAAATATTGCCTAATAGGCTGTAACTAGGTATAAGTATTAATAACTTTTAAGTAATCATTCATAAAATAAAAATTTAAGGAAATTAAATCAACAAGCTTAACATCTTTTATTGCATATTCTTCTTTGTGTTCTGCTATATCTGAATCATACATATGTATTGTTAAACTGTCAATTAATATATCATTAGATAAGTTTGTTATTTCTTGAATATTATTTCACATCTTTTTTCGATCAGTATAACTTGTACTAAAAGCTTGCATATATCCTGTATGAAGCTTTGAAATTATAATATTAGTATTGATAAATTCAGGATTATAAATATTAAATCTTGTCGATGAATAATATAAAATTGGTGTACAATATTTTGATAAATTAATACAAATAGTAGCTATATGATTTATTAAATGAAGTAAAGTCACATTGGGCATTCATTTTTCATATATATTATGATAGTTATCAACATTTAAAAAATGTACATATTTTAACTTTAATTTAAAAAATTTTATTAAAAAAATACATTAAATACACATTATTTAAAAATATTATACAATAGAATATCTGATTTGAAAATATATTTCAAGATCTGAATCTCGTACTTTTAACAATTTACATCTTTTTGCTGCAATAACTCTATATGATGCAGTGACACCTAAAGTAGCCAATGCATCAATTCCTTGTCTTGACAACCCCATTGTTATTAAACTAATACTAGCATTTACCTAAAATAAAAGTATATAAAATAATTATTATCTCTTAGATTGTAAACTATTTCCAGACAAATTTGTCTAGAAAATTAACAAAAATATACTTATGATTTATATTTTTTAAATTTTAAAATATTTAAATGAAATTTTGTTTGATA